TGATTTTTGAAAAGAACACTAAAAATACACACTGGGAAAAAGACCCTCTTTACTTTATGTATTTAGAAAATTATTTTTATTTTATGTGTATGAGTGTTATGTCTGCATATATGTAAGTGCATCCATGTCATGCACAGCCCACAGAGGACAGAAGAGAGCATCAGATCCCCTGAAACTGGAGTTACATGGACTATTGTTAGCCACCATGTGGGTGCTAGGATTGAACCTGGGTCTTCTGCAAGAACAGCCAGTGTTCTTAACTGCTGGGCTGTCTCTCCAGCCCCCCAAAAGAACCTTTTTAACAAATGATGGGAAAACTGGATATCTGCACATAGAATGAAAATAGATCCCTATATCTCACCCAGCATAAAAAAAAATCAACACCAATGGATCAAAGACATTAATTTATGACCTGAAAATCTGAAATTGTTAGAGAAAAAGTAGGAAAGATACTTCTAGATATGTAAGGCATAGGGAAGTACTTTCAATAGAACTCCAGTCAATGAAGAGGAAAGAAGGTCAACAGTTGGCAAATGAAACCTCACGAAATGAGAAATTTTCTGTATATCAAAGGAAACAATTAGTGACAACACAACCTACAGAATGGGAGAAAACTTTGGCTAGCTAGACATCAGACAAATGATTAATGACTAGAATATTAAAACAAATATTAATGACTAGAATATTAATGACTAGAATATTAAAACAAAATATTGAACAAAAAAGACCTAACACGTATATACAGAATATTATACCCAAGCACAAAAGAATATACTTTCTACTCAGAAGTTCATGAAAGTTATTCTAAAATTGATCACATTCTGGGGCACAAAACACATCTGAACAAATACAAAAATATTGAAATAATTCCATGCCTTCTATCAGACCACAGTGCAATAATCAACAGCAAAAGAAGGTCTAGTAAATACAGGAACTCATGGAGATTAAACAACAGACTCCTGAATCATGAATAGGTCAAAGAAGAAATTAAGAAAAAAGTAAAAGTATTCTTGGAACAAAATAAAAATGAGAACACAACACAACAAAACACCTGGGACACTCTAAAACCAGTCCTAAGAGGGAAGTTTATAGCTCTTAGTGCCTACATTAATAAATCAGAAAGAGCACATGAAAATGACTTCACAGTACAACTCAAGACTCTGGAAAGGTAAGAACAAACCAACCCCAAAGCTAGTAGATGAGAAGAAATAACAAAACTCAGAGCAGAAATCAATGAAATAGAAACAAAGAAAACAATTTTAAAAAAATCAGTGAATCTAATAGCTGGTTCTTTGAAAGGTTAAACAAGATAGACCCTTAACCCAGTTAACAAAAACAAAGAGCAAATCCAAATCAACAAAACCAGAGGTGAAAGGGGAATCATTACAACAGATACTAAAAAAAATCCAAAACATTGTAAGGGAATACTTTAAAAATCTGTATTCCATTAAATTTGGAAACCTAAAAGAAATGGTTGAATTTCTAAAATCAAGGCTACCACCAAAGTTAAACCAAGAGGAGATCAACAGCCTAAACAGACCCATAACCAATAGGAAGTTGAAACAGTAATACAAAACCTCCTGACTAAAAAAAAGCCCAGGCCCAGATGGGTTCATAGCAGAATTTTACCAGACATTCAAAGAAATCTACAAACAATACCACTTAAATTATTCAAAAAGATAGAAACAGAGGGAAAACTTCCAAACTCCTATGAAGCCAGTATTACTATAATACCGAAACCAGGTAAAGATACAACAACAACAACAAAAGAAAACTATAGACCCATATCCAATGAACATAGACACAAAGATCCTCAACAAAATACTCTCAAACCACATATAGACACACATCATAAAGACCACCATGATCAAATCAGCTTTATTCCAGGGATGGTTCAACATATATAAGTCAATAAATGTAATAAAACATATAAATGGCCTTAAAGACAAAATTTGCATGGTCATCTCAATAGATGCAGAAAAGGCATTTGACAAAATCCAACCTACATTCATGTTAAAAGTCCTAGAAGGAATTGGTCTGGAAGGAACATACTTCAACATAATTAAAGCTATATACAACAAACCTATAGCCAGTATTATTCTAAATGGAGAAAAACTGGAAGCATTCCCATTAAAATCCTTTTCAATATAGTGCTTGAAACTCTTGCAATAGCAATAAGACAAGAGAAGGAAATTAAAGGATTACGAATTGGAAAAGAAGAGGTCAAATTATCCCTATGTGCAGATGATATTATACATATGGGATCCCAAAAATTCTACTAAAAAACTGTTAGAATTAAAACTTTCAGGAAAGTGACAGGGTACAAACTCAGTAACTTTTCTATATACCGATAACAAGCAATCAGAAAAAGCACTCAAGGAAACCTCCCATTCTCAATAGCCTCAAAAAAAGAAATCAAACATTCCACTCAATAAAGAGCCTAATGAACTTAACAGACATTCTCAAAAGATAAAATGCAAATGTCTGATAAATCTATGAAAAATTGTTCCACTTCACTAGCTAGCAGAGATGTGCAAGTCAAAACTACACTGGGGTTCCATCTCACCCCTGTAGAATGTTAGCCATTAATAAAACAACAGCAAATGCAGGCAAGGGAGTGGAGGAAATGGAACTTATACACTGCTGGTCAGGGTGTAAAGTACTCCAGTGTGGTGATTTGACTGAGAAGCATTCCCCATATTTGAACACTTGGTCCCCAGTTCATGGTGCTGCATGCAGGGGTTTAGGAAGGATGCTCTTACTGGAGGAACAATGTCACTGGGTTCAAAGTTTGAGCTTTTATAACTTTCTTCTACTTCCTGTTTGCTTTCTCCTTCCTGCGTACATTTGAAGATTTGAACTCTCAGCTGTCTGCTCTACCTGCCTGCTGCCATGCTTCCCCTGCCATTATGGACTCTCCCTCTGGAATCATAGGCCCAAATAAACCCTTCCCTCTATAAACCTGTTTTTGTTATGGTGTTTTATCACAGCAATAGAAAAGCAACTAATATATTCAGCTACTATGGAAATTAGTATGGAAGTTGCTCCATTAACTAAAAATAGACTTATCATATGACCCTGCTATAACATAACTCATGGGTATCTGCACAAAGGACTCCAAGTCAATACAGTACTGAGATACTTACACACCAATGTTTATCGCAGCATTGTTTATAATAGCTAAGTTATGAAACCACCTATGTGTTCAACAACAGAAGACCGTATAAGGAAAACATAGATACACAATAGAATTTTTTTCTGTCATAAAGAAGAATGAAATCATGTCATCTGCAGGAAAATGGATGAAACTGTAAATAATCGTATTAAGTAAATTAACTTTATCTCAGAAGACGAATGTTTTGTCTCATTTGCCATTTCTAGATTTTGTGGACACATACAATCATGTGTGTGTATATAACATGAAAGTGGAAGTGAGACTGTGTAGGGAGATAAAGGAGACTGATAGGAGGGGCAGGGAGAAAAGAGGCAGTTGAAGGTATGAACAGATGTGTGTGCTCAGCAGGCATATATATAATATATATATATATATATATATATATATATGCATAAAAATTTTAGAAAGCCTAAAAGAAAAGAACAGGGGTGCACTATTTTTGTTATATCAAAGAAAGGCCACTGGAGAACACATAGGACAAATCAAAGGAATGATCAACTCCAAATGACTTAGGACAATGTTGAATTTTTGTCTGTGGAAACTAAGACAACGCAAATACAGTATTTCCTCAACTTTTTTGAGACAGGGTCTCCCTGTAGCCCCTGGTGGCCTGGAACTTGCTATGGAGAGATCTGCCAGCCTCTGGCTTTAAAATGCTGGGATTAAAGGCTCATACCTGGCCTTTGACTACTTTTTATAGTACATTGAGAGAAACTTATAACTTAATTTTTTAATGGCATGTTAAAATCACCTATAACTTGTATATTTTAGCAAAGTTCTAGAGAGAAACAGATAAAGGAGCCTAAGAGAAGGAAGAATGAAAAAAAAACCAGTAACAATGCCTTCATCCATTTTATGTGTGGTAACAGAATACCAGGGATAGAGTGTTTTATAAAGGACAACTATGTGATTTATACTTAAGGAGTCCCAGGAGACCAAGATTGAGGGACTACACCAGTGAAAACCAACTTTTTCCTTCAGCATTTCAGTGTGAAGGTGCAAGGGGGAAGTAGCACATGGGAGAGAGAGCAGGAGATTGAACTTGCAGCCTGAAGCTCTTTTTTCTCCCTCTAAGATCTTTTATACTCAGTATTGATGTATCTGTGAGAGTGAGCTCTCATGTCTAATCACTTCTCTAGGTCCCACCTCTGCAGGCAAGCTATAGTGGATGGGAAGGAACAGAAACAATATGAATCAGAAGAGCCATGGAGAAGGAGCTCGTGCACAGGACAGTGGGCTTCTTAGAAAAGAACAAATCAGAGGGCTACTTGAGTAGGCGTGTGTGTGAAGGAAATGTGAGGGGTGGAGTGTGGGAAGAGGATAAGCATTAGTTTCCAGGGCAGAAGAAGGAAGAAGGTAACTAAAGAGGAGTGAGCATATTTTCCTTGAAGACCTCTTACTAATTCTCCTGTGTCTTTGCCATTCCTCTCCTGACCTTGCCCTGTGCCTCTTCAGCTAGAAGCCTAGCTCCATCTCTTGCGCCACTGTTCCTTACATGTGGAATTCACAAGCTGATAAGACATCACCAAGAGGCACCTTCAGTGCAGATTAAGTTCAGTTCTGAGACCAGGATTTACCATGTACTTAGGTTCCCATGGTGGCTAATATCATTTTTTTAAAGTTTATTTCCCTGCTGTAATGAATCTTAGCATTGGAAGTCCCACTATAAATATAAATGATATTGGAAAGATTTGAATTGAGTCTTTGAAATAAAACTTTTAAAATGGTTATTTTCTTAATTATATATTAAAGCTGAATTGAGTAAAAATGTCATTTGTCAAGACTGGAATTTTAATCATGTCTCATTTTCTGTTGCATCTTGTAGTGATTTAAAGGGAGTGATAGTGACTCTCAGTGATGATGGTCATCTGCAGTGTTCATATCTGGGGACAGACCCCTCTCTATTCCAAGCTCCAAAAGTCGAATCTAGAGAACTCAACTATGAGGAACTTGATGGAGAATTGAAAGAACTTCAGAAAATCATCAAAGATGTTAAATCACAAGGTATCCCATTTGAAGTTTTTATTATTTAATTTTAGTGTTCATTATAAAATTGACACTGTCTTGTCTATGGATATTGTTTTATACGTTTTAGCTAATTTTCTCTGCTAGGCTGAGTTAAAGATGCCTTGTAGAAAAAGTTACTGCCCTTTAACATACAAGGTCCTTGTGTTGACTTTGTATCTATCTGTGGCTGCTGACAACTAGTTGTACTGAAGATAATACTTCTGTTATTGTGTTTCAGGGACAGCTCTATCAGTTTTAAAACTCTGCTCTACGCAAAACAGAAGTGCTTTGTTGGGTGGTGGCTTCAGAGCATTTGAGCTGATGGCGGTCAGTTATTAGCTTATAATAGCATTGAAAAGGTTTTAATTGCTTCTTTTAAGAGACCAAAGAAGTACATGAATTACTGTTTTGTTACTAAAAATGTAGTACTTTTCAGCTTAGCTGATATAATTTATGCTTAGAGTTAATTAGCCATCCAAATGGAGTGTAGCTTGTGGTACGCTGATTTCTAATGACTCAGAGACTGTTGGTATTTTCAGTTCCCAAGTTTTGAAGAACTCAATATTATCTTACATTGGGACTCAAAAGGGCGTAATTTTATTGTAAATTAAAAGGAGAAACAAAACACCAATCCTGCAGTTCGTTTCAGACATGTGAAAAGCATTACTTAAATCGCCTTTACAGGGTCAGGTAAAAGTATTTTTTTAATGAGAAAAAATATGGAGTATTTTCACATAAAAGAAATGTTAAAACAAGTAGGAATAATAAAAGAAACAGAGCATCAAAAGCCAACCAAAACAACAGAGCCGGTATTAATCCCCATCCAGTCACTTCACCAGATTTATGCATTTTTGAGTCTATATTACCAGGATTATATTCCTCTGGTTCTAAGGAATTGAGATGATATATTTAAAAATGAATATTAAAAGTGAAGTTATTATACTTTGGCTTCACACATTCTTATAGAAGGTTTTGAAAGTAAACCAATGAAGCCGAGTTCTTTAAAGTACTGGTGTCAGCGCTCGTGTCAAATGGAAAGTGGCTAAAACTGGCTGTATCATAGTGCGAAGTACAGGGTTTTTTTTTTTTTTTTAAGTTTTTGATACCAGTATTTTGAAGGATTAATGGAATTATAATCTTTGTCATTTTAGAATGTGTTTGGGGAAGATTGTCATTTTTATGAAACATGAAATTTCACAAGTTCATTAAATAATGTGATTTTCACTCCGAAGGTTTGGTTTTGTGATTTTGCTCCTCCATGAGCAGTGTGCTAATGAATAACATTTGTGTATGAAATTTCTCTGAATCCTTTAGACCTCTTTCTTTCTTTCTTTCTTTCTTTCTTTCTTTCTTTCTTTCTTTCTTTCTTTCTTTCTTTCTTTCTTTCTTTCTTTCTTTCTTTCTTTCTTTCTTTCTTTCTTTCTTTCTTTCTTTCTTTCTTTCTTTCTTTCTTTCTTTCTTTCTTTCTTTCTTTCTTTCTTTCTTTCTTTCTTTCTTTCTTTCTTTCTTTCTTTCTTTCTTTCTTTCTTTCTTTCTTTCTTTCTTTCTTTCTTTCTTTCTCCTCTTTCCTCTTTCTTTCTTTCTTTCTTTCTTTCTTTCTTTCTTTCTTTCTTTCTTTCTTTCTTTCTTTCTTTCTTTCCTTCCTTCCTTCCTTCCTTCCTTCTTTCTTTTCTTTCTTCTTTCTTCTTTCTTCTTTCTTCTTTCTTTCTTTTTTTTGAGACAGGGTCTTCTTGTAGCCCCAGCTAACCTGGAACTTGATATGTAGAAAGTTTGAGGCTGGCCTCAAACTCTCAAACTCACAGAGATCCGCCTGCCTCCCAAGTATGTGCCACCATGCCTGGCTGCTAAACATTATTTCTTGATGTCCACGCCTGAAAGGGAATAGGTTTAGGCTGTTTTACTTGCTATTACCTTGATCCTTTAGTGTATCTGGAAATCACTACTTAAGCCAGCCAACCATAGGCATGGTTGCAAAGTTCCTTATTTGCATAATCCTAAATTTTGGTTACTGTTTGAATGTCCCTGTACTTTTATATTACCATTGTTTGGTTTTATTCTTAAAAATGAAACAAAGAGAAACTTTTAAAATAGAAGATTTTGCCAGGTATGGCAGCACACACCTTTAACCCCAGCAGTCAAGAGACATAGGCAAGCAGATCTCTGTGAGCTCAAGGCTGGCCTGGTCTCTATAGTGGGTTCTAGGCCATCCAGAACTAAGCAGTGAGACCCTGTCTCAAAAAAAAAAAAAACAAAAAAACCAACAAACAATAGAACAACAAATAGATTTTACTATATTTTGTGTCTATATTAGAGAATGCTTAGTATTCTGTTCCTCTATGATACTTTAGTACTAATTTCTGTTTATTAAAATACTTGAATTGTAGAAAATTACCAAGTTATTTCTTTATAGATTATGGAATATCAGAACTCTGAACTTTCGGATGACCTCATTATTAATTTTAATGGCACTTATGTTAGTGCAGTGGCTTTAACTTGCAAAAACATGTTCACAGAGTTATGGGTTATGATCCATACCTAAAGCTTTTTAAAACCTTTTCAAAGAAAGGATTGTAGCAAATTTAAAGCCAATTTAAAGAGTATATTTTGTTGTACACATGGTGTGTATTATCTACTGTAATAAAACTGTTTTTTGAAGCTAATTTTATGTGTGGCAGTTATATGAGAATGCATGTTGTAAGCAAGAAATTTTAGTAATAATTTCTGTGTGGATTGTGAAGCTTTTCAGATTCAGCTGTCTAGTATGAATTTTGCCAGACATTTTTGTTCACAGTAGTCAACCATATTGCCAGTGAGAACTTTCAGAGATGGAGTTTCCATATGATTTAAACATTTGATCACATTCTCTTCCTAAAGTGTGAACAAAGCTGGATATAGCATTTTAAGATAGGTACCCACTGTGTGCCTTCAGGAAAGGAGAGAGAGCTGGCAGATGTTGCAAGATAAATAAGTCTGCATCACCTTTGAAATGTATTTGGGTTAGATAAGTTGATGTTACTACTGAGTACCAGAAACAGCTGAACTTTGTGATTTGTTCAGAATCTCCAAATACACCACCATAAACAGAGTGGACAGTATCTTTCTCATGTAAAAGGCGCCCAGCAATAAGTAGTTCCGGTTGGCTCTGCAATTCCACAGTCATCAGGAATTCTGATTCCTTCTGTGTCGGGGTCATGTATTGGTCCAGGAAGACTTGTGCTGCTGAGCCAGCTCCTTTAAAGAGTTTCCTTAGAAGCCACAGCCCAACAGCTCCTGCTTATATCTCAGTGGCCACTCCAACCTGCAAAAGGCATGAACATAATTTTGTGATTTTTTTGCCAAGTACTTTGTTGTTCAGGATAAAATTGGTTTTCTTTCAGTAAAGAAGTGAAGAATGGTTGTTAAATGACCTACGGGCAGTCTTTGTACTCTCACTAGGGTTAGAATTTCCTTTCTAGATTTTGCAGTATTGGTGGGAATACCTGGTGTCATCTGAGGACAATTTCTCATCATGACCAAGAAAGAAAGAGTTTATTTGGCTTATGGTTTAGAGGGATGAGTTCATTATGGCGGGGGAGGTGTGGTAGGAGGCAGCCTGAGCAGAAAGCTCTGTGCAGGAAGCAGAGCGGAATCTGGAAGTGGGGCAAGGCCATGAACTCTGAAAACTCGCCCCATTGACTTAATTCCTCCAGCTAGGCCGCATCTTCTAAAGGTACCACGACACTTCCCAAACAGCACCACTAACTGACCAAATACTTGAACCTATGGGGAGCACTTTCATTCAAACTACCACAATAGTTATAGCTCGGATGGGTTGTACTAGTTTAGGCCTTTACTAGCATTTTAGGGAGAACGCATTGAAATTCCCAGTACTGGGTTGTCATTGGCTCAGGTCCTATGTATTATCTTTGGAAGAAATTAATTTTTGTTTACAGCATTTCTAGGAAAAAATTAGCACCAAGCTTTTAATTCTATACTCTATTAATTTTCCAACTCATGAGTTATAAAGTTGATTTTTGGTATGTTTTATAGACAAACTTTTATATGTAAACTATATACAGCAGGTTTTACTTTATCATTAGGTATGTTTTTTCTCTTTTTATTGCAGGTGTTTGGCCCATGACTGAAAGAGAAGATGACTTAAAAGTTTCTGCTGTAGTTTCTCCTAACCTTGATTCAGTGTCTGTAGGTATATTTACATACTTTGACTTGTTATCAAAATGTATTGGTTTAAATCCTAGGCTTTTCAATAGGAACATATGAGATAATAGCAAATCTTAGTCTTTGTTCCTTTCTGGATAAAAACATTCTGTCTTTTTAGTGCCAGCAAGGGGCTTCCTGGGTGGGATTTATATTTACAGAAGAAGAGAGAATGGTGAGGGGAAGCAGTGGCCAAGGACCTTGTCCTTTCTTTCTGTACCATATACTTTTAATAATTCTAATCCAGATGAATACTTTGCCCATAACATTTTTTGGGAGGTTTAATGAGATAATGTTTGTGAATAGCTGATATCCACGTTGGGTGATTCATAGACTTCCATACATTGTGGTGGTAGTGATGGCAGTAGGGTAGTGTAAGTACAGTAAGTTGGTACAGAAATTATTTTTCCCTCTGTTAGAATTTACTCTGTTTGGTTGTTGTTGTCGCCATTATTTTTGTCATCATCATCATCATCATTAAATTGCATTTTAATTTTTTAACTTCTCATATCCTCTACTTTTCTTGTTCAATGCTCTGTCTTCAGGGTTTGCCATATATTAGTGCCAGTATCTGTTTGCTCTATAATGGACTAAGATGGAGAAACAGGAGGATGAAAGGGATGATGTTATATTGTTATATTACTCCATATCCTGTTTACCCTTCTGAAAATACTTGTTTGTATGTTATTAATTACATCTCATTGCCTGAGGTGCCCACAAAATCTATTAAGTTTATCTGTGTCTTCCAAAAGTTGATCAGTTTAGTGACTGAACCTGAACATTGTTTGTATTTAGAGTTGATATCAAGCAATTCTGCCTTGGAAATGACTTTGATACTTAGGTATCAGAACACACTGTAACAAGTCGCCATCATGGCTTTCAAAGATTAATTTCAGTATAACCGCTAGTTCAAAGTGTGATAAAAATCATGTTAACATTGCTATGGCGTAGTAAATTAGGTGCACTTAAAAAAGGCAGATTTCTATATGAGAGAGACATTTCACGCAGCTCACTCACAGAGAGGCACTGTTTTAAACATTTGCTGTTTAGCACACACCATTTCTCATTCTACCTGAAGGGTGTAGTGTGAGTAGAACTTTTCTGCTTAGTTAGCTAACAAATGTGCACATGTTTTCTTCCTGTGGAAATGTCTCTCTTTGTTCCCCCTTTGGGCAACTTAGATAATTTTTTATCGGTTCTCTTAAACATAGACTGTTTTCTTTCTGTCTTTGGGAACTTGCTGATCTTTGTAGGACAAGGCCTTATATCATAGTGTTCTATTGTAACATGTCTCCCTGTTGTTAACCTTGGGTGCTCTTTCTTAAGTCGTTTCTTTCCTGCTTCATCTTCCCTGTCTTACTATAATTTTCCTTCTTAAAAATTTTCTTAAGAGTATCATATTTATCCCACTGGAAAACTGTAGCCCAACAATATATGTAGCCGTGGAAGCATGATGTCTTCTTATAGCCAATTCTCCTCCGCTGTAATTTTATGTTCCCCAAACACTGCTGTCCTTGAAATATCTAGACATGAATTGAAAATAACAGGAAACAGGGGAGATTGGTTTTTTTTTCTAGCTCTATGGTTAAACGTGAATTATTTCCTGGATTTTAGGTAGCATAGCCCTGGAGTAAATAGCCTGGATTAATATTTATTTTGAATCATTACTATGGAAGCACTAATCTCTGAAACAGAAGTATATTTTATATTATAATGGAGTCTCTTGTAGATGAAGTAAGCGTTACTATCTCATCTTCCTGACTTTATCAGAGTTCAAAAATGACTTCCTGTGGAGCCAGAAATAGAGTACAAATTCTCTTCATTTTTAATTCTACTGATGCCCAGGACATCATGGTTATCTCTGTTGTTTAGGAGTAGATGGTATTTTTTTTTTTGGTCTTTTTGAGACAGGGTCTCCCTGTAGCCCCAGCTGACCAGGAACTCACTATATAGACCATGCTGGCCTCGAACTCAGAGAGATCTGCCTGCCTCTGCCTCCCAAGTGCTGGTATTAAAGGTGTGCACCACCATGCCCGGAAGATGGTATTTTTTATACATATAAAGTTCAAATAAAATGTATAATGTATTTGATTTATTTATTATACAGAGATACCACAATCTTAATTGTTACACAGTAATCCATATGTGTGTTGTAAGAAAATATGTTACCTTTTGGTTTTGCTCTTTTATAGAGGGAACATTGTCTCCTCTCATTGTATCACATTATAAGGAAATGTTTTCCTTATTCTGTTATACTATGGGTTCTTTAAGAGATAGGGCCAGGCAGCCCACAATGCAATTGTGTGTGTGTGTGTGTGTGTGTGTGTGTGTGTGTGTGTGTGTAAGCACTTCTGTGTTTACTTTCTAGGTTTAATGTCACTTAATATATCATTAGTTATATGACAGGTACAAATTATTAATCTGAATAAAGCATACTTTTCACATAATGTTTATCTGGGAATTACAAGGGGAGATATTTTCCATATAATATAAAGAACAAATTAATAGAATGTATACTTTAAGGAGCTGAATAAATTTGGAAACAGAATAGCTTGATAAAGTAGTGACCTTTTTTCCCTTTTTGAAGGGTGGGTTTTGAATACTAGCTCATGACTTTACACATGAATGTCAAAACTTATGACTTTTCCATATGAAAATTCATAAGGACTCTTTTAGTCTGTCATTAGAGTGGTGAATTCTTTATAGTTAATTCCCTGTTTGACAGTAGAGAATGTCTATTTTACTGAACATGTTCACTCACTGCTGATAATGTTGTAATCACTTTTTCCTACTTTCACTTCTCATTTCTGTATTTACAGCAAGCCGCTAATGTTGAAGTTGGAACCGACTCTGTCCCGTCCATCACAGTGAAGGTATGGTAGCAGGTTTTAGACTGAAATATGCAGACTATTGCATGTTTTATCACCTCTTGTCACTGTTGTTATACTCTAAGTAGTTTATGAATATATAAAATTAATGCATGAACTTTATGGATATTCTTTAGCCTGGAATTGTGACTAGAAAACCTTCGTTGTTATATGCAAATATAAAATTGGTAATTGTATTTATAGAACTATATATACAATACCAAGAAGTGTTATGATTTCCCCATCCCTTATTTAAGGGAATAACCCAATCCAGGCTCGCTTTTATAGAAAAAAGTTTGGATTTTAAGTCTGGTAAAGGAACTATGTCATCACCACCCATAATCAGCTAGTCAGTTGACTATATCATCAAACATAGATTGTGAATGGATTCTGGGGAAGCACATGAATGCTAATAAAATTGTTCTTTCATGAGTGATTATGTGTATATAAAAAGAATTCTCCCAACCGTTTATCTGCTATAACATTAGTGAATTTATTTATAGCAAAAAAATATTAAATGAAGAAGCCATAAAGTGGAGTATGGACAAACTGATGGTCTTGGAAAAACAGAATATGAACTATGTAGATTCAGTTAAGAGTTTCAGTCTTGTTCTTGTAGAATTTCAGAGCCAAAACTCAAATATGGGACCTTCTCAAGACCTTTAAAGTGTGGTAATCAGTCAGCACGTTATTAAGTTGAAAATATTTATCACTGCCCAAACCTTGGAAGCCAGGAAAGATTGTGGATCTTGGCAATTCACTTAGTCAAAACTTGGACAGGACTTTCTATTTTCTCAGATTATAGGCTGCTGTCCTTGGAGATGTTTGACAGGGTGCTAGGCTTTACCAATTGTGTCCACTTACACTGGACCCAGCGGGTGGCCCAAGTGTGGAGATCTTTGGTTGAAGCTGAAGTTGAAAGGAGCCCAATTTCATAACAGTTTCCTAAGCTAATTTTTTTGGATTGTTGCCACTGGAAACAAGGGTGGTCTTTCCCCAGCTTCCCTTCCCCCTATCCAATCACAGACTATCTCATTAATGCCTCTGAGTCTGGAAAGGCATTAGTGGCAAAAAAAAAAAAAAAAATCAAACACTTAAAAAAAATGACTGTGGAGGTACAAGAATGATCTCTACTTTTATGTAGGGAAGTTGCTTTATACTATGTGATATTACTGTTCAGAGATAGTCAGGTAATGTAGTTAAGGAGCTCATCTGAATTTCAAAAAGAAGGCTTGTAACTAAACCTAAACCATAAACATTGCCTATGTACCCCCCCCATCAAAAAGGAGTTGTTGCTCTAAGTCAACATGCCTTTCTCTCCCCCGTAATTTCCTTAGATTTCATGAGTGCCAGCCACCTTAATATGATGGCAAAAGTACTAGAAAATTCTCCTCCATTATCTATACTTGACAGTACTTAAGTCACAACTCTTCTTCTGGTTGCCATTATAAAAGCAGAAGAGTGAATACCACATTCAAGGCTGCACAACATTGGCTGGACTTCCACAGCAGACACGATGACTTCCTGATTCTGTCTGACAGTTTCTATACAAATTTCTGCTATAAATCTCTCCTTATGACCTTTTATAACAACAGCAGCCAAGATATATAACCATGCAAGTTTCCATCATAATAAATCCTGTTAATTGAGAAAATTTTTCCATCTGTTCCAAATGAATGAAGATGTGGCTACCTTGAGTATGTGTGCATGATGCGTGACCATCTGTTCCAGGCAACAGGCAGAGTAGAGTGCCTGTTCCTACCTGCCTTGGAGTCATATTTATATACCTAGGGTAAACATTTAGTATTATATTTCCTAAGAACTATAATTTTTTTGTTAGAATCAGAAAATGGCATGGAAAATTCTCGTATTAACATTTTATATTTTCTCCTTAATATTCTATAATTATTTTCCTCTTAAAATATGAGGTTTATGATTTTGGCAAGTCTTTAATTCTCTTTTTGGCTCAAAAACAACTATTCTTTGTTGCTGTAGTTATTTTTGTCACATCTCTTTGATTTGTGTTTTGAAAGTGCCTAGACGAAATGTTGGATTCAATAAATCTGTGTATAGGAGCTATCATGATTGACTGGTCGTCTAACCCAGATGCTAGCACACTCTTGTAATAATGTCAGGTTGATGTGATTATTGTCTGAGTAGCCATCATTTTGCTAGGCAGAGTTGGAATCTTTGGTCCTTTATGGTTTGCTACTACTTCAGAGAATTCTCTTTTCTTGTTTAAAGTTGAGTCTCACAGGCTGCCCTTGAGGACAGTTTTCAGTTGTCTAACACTTACTGTCTCTGTGGTCTTCGGCATGCTATTTACCTTTTCTGTTTGTTTATTAGTGTTAGTGGTGACTTTTTTTGTTAGTTTTTATTTTTTGAGATAAGGTCTTACTATGTCATCCTGGATGGCTTGGAACTTGCTTTGTAGACCAGGCTGGCCTAGAACTTACAGAGATCTTCCTGCCTCTGCCTCCCAAGTGCTGAGATTAAAGGTGTGCGCCTGCATGGCTGACTATTTAACCATCTCTGAACCTCTAGTTCCAAACTGTGAAATGGAGATCTTTTTTATTTCTAAAGTTATTAGTGACTTAAGTATTGTTTGTTAAAGGCCTGGGCGCCAGATTTTGGCAAACAGCAGCTAAATTATGATTCTCTCACTTTCTATCAGAGTAGCTTTGGGAAAATCACTTAGCTTCTCTGAACCGTGGTATTCCCTTCCTGTAGCATGGCATGTGACAGCACTTATTTTCACACTGTTGTGAAGATATTTAAGATAAGACTCACAGTTTATCAGTATGATTACATGAATATAGAAAGCTCTTACAGCTTTTGACATTATGACATTTATTGACTCTAATTGTATATGTATAATGCTTGCAGGCCAATTGTATATTTTTTTATACTTTATATTCATATAACTGAGGAAAAGGTGAGGTATACCTTTTAGTTAAAAGAAAGTTCAAAATTACATTTCTTAATAAAGACGTATTTGCATTATGTCAATTAATGATGTTATGTGTCTGCCTCATGTAATGGAATCTGATAGTGACTAGATTGAGCTGCTCTACACTAAAGGGAGCACACAAAGGAATAGCTCTCAGTGAATCATTGATCCCTGGTTGTATATAAGAATTAGGGAGATACAAATTCTCCATCCTCGAGTGTGCCTGCAGACGTTCTGATTTAATTGCTGATTGGGCTGTTTGGTTTACCTTGCCAGCCATGTGACATGGAGTCAGCTAACAAAGACTAGTCAAAGAGGCTAGAACTTTTAGGAAGCCAAGTCGAAAGGCAGAAGATATCCAGTGAAAGCCAAGTGTTTCACTTTTTCTTTGATACTCTGTAACTGACATTCTCAGCACTTTAGCCCAGTTAAGATGCCTGTGTGTATGGTTTCTGCTGCAGGGAAACTATTATATCAACCCAGAACTCTTAACTTTTGATTCTCATCAGGGTAGGATTTCTTAGCATCAAAAAATAAGATCACCAGTTTGGAATTTAGCACCTTAGAAATGCAGTTGTTAATACCCCCATTCTTTTCTAGAATTAATTACGTCATATATTTTTGTGATAAGCCACAGAAGAAAATGACAGTGTTTCAGTTTGTATCTAGATTAAGTGTAAATCTATGTGAGAAAATAATAATAAAATAATTATCCTGTGTAAAACAATATATTGATACTAGATGTGATAAATAATCCATAATAGTACATATATACATAGAAAAAGGACAAATTTATTTCCTGATGCAGTCATTCAGTAACCATGAGGGCAGCTTTTTCTTTACTCTGATAGTACATTTTTAACAGCCTTATTGAGACAGCTTACTAACTTCACTGATTTTTAGTATCTTTGTAGAATTAGGCATCCATACCATCATCTGATTCCAGAACCTTTTGTACCCACTAAATAAGTGCCATACCCAGTGGTTGTCATCCTTTGTCTCTGCCATTTTGAGCAACTGCTAATCTACTTATTATTTTTTTTGTAGAGGTGCCCATTCTATACATTTCTAAAAGTTTAACTTTTAAAATATTATATTTACTTTAATTCTTTGAGAATTTCATGCAATATATTTTGGTCATATTAACTCCCCTACTCCTCCCCAGGTTCTCCCAGATCCACTGTTACCCCTAGTTTCGTGTCCTTTCATGTCTTCCCTTTGAAAAAGAACCTGTAGAGTCCAGTTTGTGCTGTCCCTATACTCTTGGGTTTGGGGCCATCCACTGAAGCATGGTTGACCTACCAGGGGGCCACATCCTCAGAGAAAACTCACTCTCCCTCCCCTATTTCTGTTTTTGCTGAATATTGTTTTTTATATAGATATACCACATTTTGCTTGTCTTGAGGGATATTTCAGTGTATTTCTAATCTTTTTGCTACTGTGCATATAGTGCTATGAACATTTGTTCAAATTTTGGCAGAGGTTTATGCTTTCATTTTTCTTGGTATGAAAATGTGAGGTAGTCTGGTAATTCACATTAAACTTTTAGAGACATCTCCAGAGGGGTGCACCATGCTCCTTCCCCACTAGCACTGAATGAAGTTCTAGCTCCACATCCTTCTAACACGTGTGGTCCTTCTCTTCAGTTTAGCCATTTTACTGTGTGTATACTAATGTGTCATTGTGCATTGACACAGCATTGGGCTGTGCTTCCTTAATAGATAAAGATAGTGAACATCCTTGCATGGGCTTATTGCTCATTCCCTTTTCCTAGATAAAATGACTTTTTAAAAAGAGTTTTTATTTTACTTATTTGTGTGTATGTAGGTGTGCACATGACATAGTGTTTGTGTGTGTGGAAGTCAGAGGACAACTTTGGGGAGTCAGCTCTCTCCCTGTACGATACAAGTTCCAAGAATCAAACTCAGATTGTCAGGTTTGGTCACAAGTGCCTTTACCTGTCAAGCCATCTTGCTGGTCCAAAATGTTTTAATTCTTAGGCTTCATGTTCTGTCTTGCAGCTACTCATTTTACACCAAGTTTCCTAATTATTTGCTAGTGATTTTTAATTGGTTGTGGGAGTTTCTAAATTTGGATAAAGTATAATTTTATATTCCCAGTAATTTGTGTGTCCTTAGGTTACCCTGCAGAATCGAGTGGTATTACAAAAAGCCAAACTGTCAGTCTATGTGCAGCCACCATTAGTGTCGACTTGTGATCAGTGCACCTTTGACTTTACAGGTAAGCCTTTTGTTTAATCATGATGTTTACCATGGTGTAAGTTTTTTTCTTCTTTAACTAATAGTGTACTTATTTTATGGCTATATTTATTTCTATTTAGCAAGAATGAGCTCTTTCTGAGACTAACAGTTGTACCGTTGTACTTATATTTCCCTTCCAAATATCTAGTATTCCAAGTATGAATATTCAATTGATAATTTTTTAAAAAGATTATTCTAAGTACTTTTCTTGACTGATTGGAGCTGTGATTGTATTTATTACTATAATTTGGGAAGCTTTCATGCATATGTTGTGTATGTGTGTTGCTGTGTATTGAACCAAGGGCTTTATACATGCAGGTTAAGTGCTCTACCAGCTGAGCTACATCCTCATCCCCAGCCCTGGAAGGCTTTCTTTACTGGGGTTTCTCTAATGACCTCTGTAGTGAATCAGTAACATTTGAAGAAAGAATATTGGCTTGGTAGTTTGGCCCAAGTTTGAATCCTAACTCTTGCACTACTTGATATATGATTTTAGGCAAACTATTTTGGTAGTCACCTGGATTCTTATTTTAAGAAGTAAACAGAGGATAATGGCATCTGTATTACAGGATTATTTTGAAAATTTAATAAATGAATTTAAAGTTATCTGTAATAATATATACAATAGTAGGCATGTGCTAAATGATAATTCTTAGATTTCTTTGTATAGAATCCCTCATTTGAACCACTTACATTCAAGTTGCCAATAGTCCAATTAGAATGACCTTTGAGTTACCTTTGAATCCTTTTCTTTTTTACGTGTAGGACAGCTGTTTAGCCAAAGCTCCCATCTCATACTCATGCCCCTGAATAACTAAGTCTTTACTATGTGCCTGTCAACTAGTGGGAGCCCAGTGAGTATTCACCAAATGAACATGAAAGACAGAGTAAAATGTCTTTGTAGGCGATGCCCAAGAGTCGGAGTTTCAGTATATTTTCCATTTTTAGACAAGATTCCCAATTTATCTTTCTTTAAAAATTTTTAACATCTATTTTTATTAATTTTTTAAACATTTAATGTCAGTGTGTCTGTGCAGATATACATGTGTGTGCTATGGTATATGTGTGGAGGTCAAAGGAAAATTTGCAGGAATTGTGTTTTTCTTTCTTTCTACTATGTGAGTCCTCAGATTACACTCCATGGTACCAAGTGCACTCCATGGTGCCTTTACCCACCAAGCCTTCTCTCTGGCCCCCTGATTTATCTTTCTAAAACAAATTCTGAAGAATTTACTTTTTCAGTTTAAGATCTCCAGTGGTCCTCTAGCAGAGGTCGGGCACAGTCTGCTAAGATGCTGCCTTAATGTCTACATCCAATCCCTGTTTCAAGTTTTCCTAGTTCAGGCTTTGTTCCAGCCATGGAAAAGTACTGCTCCCCCACCAACCTGATTCTCTAACCCTTTTGTGTGTCATTTTCTCTCCTCTTGCTCCAAGTAAAGAGAAGCAGTCTATGGAATGCCTGATACCGTGAGAGGCGTCACTTCCTTGCTCTGGTAGAAGCTGGGTAATCTTGGTCCTTCTTAGCTCTCTTGATTTTAGTTTCCTCATACATAAAAATGGAGATGACAATGGTACCTACATTGTAGGGTTGCAATGAGCATTATGAGTGACTAAAGTGCTGGCATGTAGTAAATGCTTACACAATTTTATTTTTAACAATTGTTACTATTGTGCAACTTGTGCATTACTTTTACATTGCTTACAGTTCCAGAGATGACAAGCACAGTAGCCTTTTCTGTTTATCTGAAAAGAAGTTACACACCATCTGAATTGGAAGGAAATGCTGTTGTTTCTTATTCCAGACCAACAGGTAACACATACAGTAGTTTACAACTTTATAAGCTAATTATTCCTTTAAAGCATTGCAGTTATGAGATATATGATGATGTGTTTAAGATAGGAAACCATGTTGCCAAATATAATGGAAAGAAAACATTCTTTTCTCCTGTTAAATGAAGTTATATGATCTAATTACTTTTATGTATTGTAAGTATTTAATGGTAAGTCTAATTACTTGATTTCCATGTATAATGGTCCTTTCTTCAGTTAATAGCAAATCTGATGCCTTTTTATTAGCACTAGAAAAATGCTTTCTAGATCAGACTTAATTTATTTAAACTAAAATAGTTTGCAGTATTATGCATTACTGTAACATTAAGGCACTATTCAGTTTTAGATAGTTTTTTAATGACTAAATAACACTCCTATCTTATATGTTAGAGTTTTCATGAACAGATCCATTATATTTTCATTTTCATTTCTTCAAGATATTTGTTTAGATTTTAAATTTTTATTTTTAAAAATTATCATAAAAAGTATTAGACACCATTAGGTTGTCTATAGTCTACAAGGAATTCAACTATTATAGAAATCACAACTTAGTTGATTTTGGTATGGTAGGCTTTTCCTTTTTCTTTCCTATGTGATAAATATTTCAGGATAACAGTTTGGTGTCAATTGGTTGTTAGAAAATAAAAATTAATAGCTATAACTTTTAAAAAATGTTTTAGGTCGGGGGCATGGTGGCGCACACCTTTAATCCTAGCACTTGGGAGGAAGGCAGAGCAGGCTGATCTCTGAGAGTTCAATGCCAGCTGGGACTACAGGGAGACCCTGCCTCAAAAAAACCCCACCAAAGTCTCAACCTCTCATAAAAAATGTTTTTAAATGTAGTGTAGCTGGTAATAGGGTATTTCAGCAATTTTATATTTGTGTTTTTAAAATATTTCTGTACCATTTTCTTTTAAAGTTTATTTTTCCAATTGAAAAGTTTTACAGTTCAGAAATGGCGTCTTCACTCAGTTATGCTTCATCTACTCATTGGGCAGTGCTTCCCTCATAATGTACTGTTGCCTAAGTGAAGCTTCTTACTTAACTGCTGATAATTATTAATGCTCTGATGCCATTTTATAACTTGTGTATATGACTTAAAGATCTGTTTTTTTAGATTTAGATTGTTTCAAACTTTATTTTTTAACCAGAAGTGGGCCTTTTATGCATTTATCAAATTTTCAAACTTTGGGGCTATAGAATAGATTTTATGTTTATACAGAGTTAATAAAGTTGGTTTCATAAAGAAATGAAAACTTCATAAAGATTGAAGTATGATGGATCTTTTCATTGGCTGTGTCTAAAATGAATTTGATGGTTTCAATGTTATGTTCACTTTCAGTGTGTTTGAAACAGAAATGAGAAATATTTGGCTCATATATTCAGATCATTTATCATTAACTTAGTGTCTGAACAATCAAAGGTACAGCATTGGATATATGGTTCTAAACTGCCGATGCCTTAATTCACATAATCCTCTCATTAATTTTCAGGGGAAAATAGTGACACTGGTTGAAAATAAAATTAAAATAGAGAAAAGGCTAATATAAAGTAGACGATGAGTTTAAAATTCACTCTAATATTGGAAAATCAGTTTGTGAACTTATCGTTACACATACCATTTTGGTCTCATATGCTTTCCTATAGATGTAATTTAAAATATCTTAAATTATTGCTAAAGCCTTGACATTATTTGGTTGCGAGTTGATTATAAATCAACATAAAAAGTATGTAAAATAAGAGAAGTAAGACAAACCTCAAAACCCAAATGAACATTACTCCATAGTGGCATCTGCTAAAATTATTTTAAGAGAAACACCTGGAAATGTTAGCACTGTGCTTTGTCCTTTATTCAGCACTTTCACTTCATCTCTTTCATTTCATCTATGTACTGCTTTTTTTTTGCCACCTTTGTGCTGAAGTAACAAATTAGTGTGGACTTTTGAGAGTTGAAGTGCAAATGTATTGATGACTTTTCATTTATTCAAGTCATACTCTTCAAATATGAAGACTTTGTTTGCTTAGAGGGAACTGTAGGATAATCTTGAAAGTACAGATTATACTTTAAGCAGATGTGTATCAAGTTTGTGTAGTAACTTTACCACAGATAATTAGTTGCACTTTTCTCTCCCACACCCTTTTGCATTGCTTCTGATGGATAGATCGAAATCCTGATGGTGAGTGAAAAGATAAATGAGAAAAAAATGAATTTCCAGATGAACTTGTTGTTCAACTGAATGGGCATTATAATGTGAATGAGCTTTTATATAAGCTCAGACTTCTTTAGTGTGATGTAATTCCTTGAAACAGCATGACTGTTTCTGCAGGGAGTTATCATTATGGAATTTTCAGCCATTAAAAAGAATGTGTCTAGGAATTAAAATAGAATAACTCTTAAAAAACTTAAAAAACATTTTGCTGAAGTTGTTGGTTATTACCATATATTCTATAATTTTGTTTTACTCCAAGTAAGGAATAAAAAATAAAAAGATATCTGTCATTGAAATTAAGATAGTTTTTCTATATGCTCAAATAGACCCATTCTTCTGTCTGGTAAGAATGCTGTGTCTTGCTTTGCTCCTGTCTCTTGACCTGTTTGGGGTTTCTGGGAGGCTGGTCGGCCATGCTGGCCTTGCTCGGATCAGTGTTGTATTGTTACTCGTATTGCCATAGTCACACATGTTACTTATGCTTCAGTTGCATCGACCTTGTTTCTTAGGTTTTCCTAATCGATATGAGCACATTGAGATCAAGTATTCATCTTTGAATTGTACAGTTTCTGGATACACAGCAGGCACTTAAGTCTTATCTCCTGCTTTGATTTCTTCCCCTGAGAGACTCTTCACATGGTGGTTTATCTTTATTAAAGATATTTTATTAAGACAAATTTTAGCTAACAATATTCATTGATTAATAATAATTAAATACATATAATTTAAATATTTTTTTAAAACACAGCAGTAGTGATTCAAACAATTATGGTACCAACAACTTCTCATGTAGCTTGTAACATCATGGCATCTGAAGGGAATATATATTTATATGAGAAATGTCTTCAAAGAAGCCAGTGCTTATCTAGCTTAATAATAGGAAATTTACTTGTTAAATTAAAACTCAGTTGATCAAAAACTTAATATTTATACTCTAATTCTCAAAATTCTATGTAACTGATAGTATTTTAGATGAAATTTTATATAATACCATATTGCTATTTAAGTTATTAAGTTAAAAATAATCAGGAAAGGTTATCATTGAAGCATATTTTTCCTCTCTTACTGTACAGTCAGCTCAAACCATGAGAAAAAATTAGAACTTGTACTAATTTTAACATTTCCATGTAAACAAAAAGATAGTTTTCAATAATCTATTCGGATGTGATTTAAAATCATCATGAAACTTTAGGGAGCAAAGTTGAAATATTCAGTTGCATCTAGTAGTCAGAAAGTCCAGTATGCTGCCACTTACATCCCACTTATGCACAGGCTTCGTATTTCAAAGACTGATCCATTTTATTGTCTTGATCTGTTCAGTCTGTGTGGCAGATAAGCAGTTCTGCTTTCACTTGTCCAAAAAGAGAAGGAAACAAGTTTTTATGTTGTCCCATAAGACTTAGTCTCCATTATTTCTGCATTAAAGTTACATGACATGGGCAGTGTAAAACATGACTGAGATGGAGCCCAGTGTGTAGCCAGACATAACAGGAAGGGATCAAGGAAGTTCTGGCCACCAGACACTGCTACTGCTTTGGGGTTCCTTGTTTTCAGTAAGAAATTACTCTAGCAGGCCTCTGGACAGAGTTCTAAGGTATTCTATAGAAGTGTAATATATAGATGTCGTTATCCTGTGCCGGTGTGTGTGTGTGTGTGTGTGTGTGTGTGTGTGTGTGTGTGTGTGCGCGCGCGCATGCGCATTAATGTTTTTTTTCTTTTTCCAGCACATTTTGGCTTCCTGTTCGAAAGTGATACCGGGCTGCTAGGTGTGCCAGGTGCACTCAAAATTCTCTTTTTGGAAAAATTATTCTGTCAGGAGTGGTTTTGATGTGAATTTTCCCTCTTAGTGATAAATAATTTTGTGATTAATTGCATGTCATGGCTGCTCCTGTCCATTTCCTCTAGGGGGTTCTGGGAAGGGAAGCATAAGAAGGAGCAGTGCTTATATTTGCTTAAAACTTTCAAAATCCTTTTGAACAAAGTTAGCCTGATGAATGATTAGATTAGTATCTGAATTGAATGATAACATTTCCTTTTCTCCAAGCTTAAGCCCCCAACATGGAGGAAATGTCACTGATGGTAGATAGAGTTAGGTCCAACTAGGCTCTTTCAACTAGGTTGAAAGCTATTCCATGAGCAACACTGAAAAAGTCTTTATTTTAATCTTTTTGTTTTATTTTTGAAGCATGCTCTCAGGTAGCCCAGGTTGGCTTCAAGAACATTGTGTGGCCGTGAATGACCTTAACTCCTTACCCTTCTGCTTCCAAATTGCAAGTGCTGCGATTACAGTATTTGCCACCACAGGAGGCTTGAAAAGTTCTTTTATGCATGCAGTTCTTTCTTTAGTCCAAGTACTGCACATAGACAGAGATAGAGGAGATAGGAGATAGGAGAGGAGAGAGAGAGAGGGAGGAGATGGGGAGAGAGAGAGACAGAGAGAGAGAGAAGAGAGAGAAATATACATCCATATCTTCCATTATGAATCTTTGGCTTCAGATTCTTTAATACAATTACAGTCTGAAGGCTAGTAACTGGTAGCCCAATTTGAACTAGAGGTTTCTTTTTTTAAATTTTTATTTATTGTTTTTATTTTATGAATGTATTGCCTGTGTGCATGTATGTGCACCAGTGTCATGCAATGCCTGTGGAAGTCAGAAGAGGGCGTCAGAATCCCCTGGAACTAGAGTTATGAATGCCTGTTAGCTGCCATGTGGGTGCTAGGAATCAAACCTGGGTCCTCTGTAAGAGCAGCCAGTGGTCTTAATTGCTAAGCCAACTCTCTAGCACTGAACTAGAAGTTTCTTAAGAAGGCATAAATCTTAAAAGAAATGTGCCTCTGTCTAAGCACTAAAGATTGTTTTTGAAATGCTTTGATTTTCCATTGATGGAAAGTGCTATAAAATAATGGCATCCTATTTTTCTTTCCTAAAGGCATGATGTTGTTGATTCCTAAGGATTTCAGTTTCTGTTTTTCTTAATGGTCAAAAAACTTCAAACTGTCATCATTAAAAAAAAATACCTATAATCATTTTATTAAGGGTGTCATCATTTTTCAAAGTAATATTTTCCAAATGTTCTATGGAACGAGTTTACAGTTCCTGGAGAGAAAAGGAATTCTGGCCATGTTGCAACTCTAGTCACTGCAGACCATTGCCCTAGAGTGTGCCATTGTCATTAGCTGGCGCAGTGAAGTGTGAACTGAGTTCTGATGTGTTTCCCCCTTGGACTTAATAGTGGTCCTAATCTGTTTGCTTCTGTTTCTGAACACTCATACACCTGCCGGTTTCTTTAGTTTAATGTATAGACTTGGTAATGTAAAGCCAGTTGATCATTTCTTGAGGCTGTAACTAATGTAATAAAAACCTATTCAATGGACACATTATAATTTGGGGATATATGTAATATATGGAAATTTCCTTAAAGTTACAAAAGGAATGCTTGTAATTTTTTAATGTGGGGTGGAATTGATAGTTTCAGTTTGGACAGTATCTTAGATCATATTAACATAATATTTTGAGTCAAAGCATTTCATCACTACAAAGTACAAATACATATGCCCCTAACAACCTCTTGGAATGTCAGGAAGCAATCCCTGGGACATTCCTGAAGAGACACCAGTTATAATTTCTGTCTAGGATTTCAGAATTCAATTTAACATCTGTTGGTTATGAGCAGAATCTGAGCCTGGTAAGATTTGATAAGCCATCGATTATGTTGTAGAGAATGACAGATAGGCGCCACATGCTCTGAAAAATTACAGGACATCAGTAAGCTCACCATCGCTGATGCTGTCTCACTGTCTGGTGAGGAAATAGTACTGAAGAGTGTACTGTTGCCTTCAGTGGGGATGAAGCCACACAAGTAACTCAGCAGTCTTCATAAAATATCTAATTTCAGGGATCCAGCTTGGGTCATGTCATCATATTTTAATTGTATCTGCTTTTACTACTTTTGAGCTGCACACTGACTCCACTGATGAGAAATAAAGGAACTAGTGTGCAAATCCTACCAAGTGGAGTATGGCCTTTTGAGTTTCCCACTTCTGTATAGTACTTTGCTAAGATACAGCTTTCTATATTCATCTCCTATCTTTCATCTTAACTGATAAAAAGAGAATTCTGGGAGACTGGAGAGATGACTCAGCAGTGAAGAGCACTGACTGTTCTTGCTGAGGACCTGGTTTCAATTCCCAGCACCCACATGGCAGCTAACAGCTGTCCATAACTCCCCTTCCAGGGGATCTGACACCCTCTTCTGACCTCTGTGGGCATTGCACAACAGGGGTGCACTTACATGCATACAAACAATATGCTCATGCACATAAAATAAAAGTAATAAAAATAAAATATTAAAAAAAGAATGTTCTTGCTGAGGACCTGGTTTCAATTCCCAGCACCCACATGGCAGCTAACAGCTGTCCATAACTCCCCTTCCAGGGGATCTGACACCCTCTTCTGACCTCTGTGGGCATTGCACAACAGGGGTGCACTTACATGCATACAAACAATATGCTCATGCACATAAAATAAAAGTAATAAAAATAAAATATTAAAAAAAGAATCCTGGTGCATGCCTTTAATACCAGCACTTGGGAGGCAGAGGCAGGTGGATCTTTGTGAGTCCTTGTCTCAGAAACAAAAAAAAACAAAAAGCACAAAGGCAAGCCAAACCCCCCAGGAAAAAAAAAAAAAAAAAAAAAAAAAAAAAAGAGAATCCTGGAATCTTAAAGAATTGGCTCAGTAACTGAATGTAAGTAACTATAATGGTTTGTTTTTGTGCATTTCATATAATAAATCTTAATTAAATTTAGACCCTCTTCCTTATCCATGCCCCCCATACCACTCTCCCCCACTGGATTTCATGCATTCTCTCATATATGTTAAGTCCTATCTGGTCAACCATTTGTACCCAAATGTCTCTCAGTGCAAGTTCATCTACTGGAGTCCAGTCAGCCTATCTGGAGTCACTCCCTTAAAGAGCTACTCTCTCTCACCCAGCAGCAATCAGTTGCCAATAGTTCTTCAGCTGGGGTTGGGTCCTGCTGCCCATTTCCCTTGTTCTATGCTGGGTTTTAGTCCAGTTGAGTCAGCATGGGTCTTACACATGCTGTCACCATTGTTGCAAGTTCGTCTGGCAGCTTTCTACCTCCAGACGAGCTGTCATAGTCCTAGAGGAAGCTGCTAAGGGAGAAAATCAGTCAGTGGTCTAACCCAGCTCTAATGCCTAATAACCAAAATTGCTAGCACAGCAAACTATCTCTGTTGGTGCAGTAGGGGCACCTTCATCCAGGGCATAAACAACATCTATCTAATTGGACTTAAATTCTCTCAGTGGGAGGGAACTCATGTGGCACTGTAAATATAGTCAAATGTACATGGCTGGAGAGGTCATAGATCCTAGAGAAAACCCTATCTCTGTCATATCTCTAGACAAATGAAATTTCTTACTATGTGCTAAATATGGATCATTATATTTACAGACAAATATATTGTATACCATTCATCAAAGAAACTTCTTTTCTCAACAGATGGAACTTATTACACAGTTCCACAACTGGTTACACACAGAGAATGTATGTCTGATGCCCAGCCTTAAGTGACACATTTTCAGTGGAACCTATACACCTAAGGCTTATGGCACCACAATGATTTTTTATAGTGTCCAAATGGACTCATTTTTAAGTTTAGTTTTCTTTTATGTGTGTGAATATTTTGCCTGCATGTATGTCAGTGCACCAGATGTGTGTGAGGCCCACAGAGGCCAGAGATAGCATCAGATCACCTGGAACTGGAATTACTGACGGTTGTTACCCACCATGTGGGTGCTGGGACTTGAACCTTGGTCCTCTGGAAGAACAGCCAGTGCTCTTAAAGTCTAAGCCATCTCTCTCTATCCCCCAGATGGGCTGCCTTTAAAACCTTATACCATTTAGGGGCTGGAGAGATGACTCAGAGGTTAAGAACACTGGCTGTTCTTACAGAAGACTTGGGTTCAAATCCCAGCACCCACATAGCAGCTAATAACGGTCCATAACTCCAGTTCCAGGAGATCTTATGGCCTCTTCTGTCCTCTGCAGGAACTGCACGAGACGGGTGCCCTTACATACATGCAGGCAATACACTCATACACATAAAATAAAAATAATAAATTATTTAAAAAATATCGTACCATTTATGGACAGACCCCCTCATGTCTATACTCTTTGAACCCTTTTTTTTTCACAGTTAAAAAAATTCTCAGTCAATTTCAGTCATATACTGTTCAAAAGTTTTTTCACTTATGCCAAACAAAATAGTCAGGCAACAAACATACACATGAAGGTGTGTTGCTACTCAACCTACAAATTTTTCTTTCCCAAATTATTTGTCAAACTTGATTGTACATTTTTTCTTTTATTTCAGGTATTCCTCGGGTTATCCAATGTAAATTTAGACTTCCCTTGAAATTAATCTGCCTACCGGGTCAGCCTTCAAAAACTGCAAGCCACAAACTCACTGTTGAAACCAATAAGTCTCCAGTCAGTCTGCTCAGCCTCTTCCCAGGTAGGACTTCTGAAGTAACATGTCTGTAGCCTACACTGCAAGAATTTCAGGTGGAATCCTTCATCATCAGGTAATGATAGGGTAATAATCAGGTAATTGTTGAGTAAGAATATTAAAATGCCTCAAGGATGTCCCTGTCTTGTGTGCCTGCTGAAAGGTGGAGAGTTTATATCAGCAAGGAAGTAAGACATGCCTTCTAAGTATGATGAAAATTATTAGAATCATTATTTTGCTTTAGTATCCAGAATAAAAACATCCAATGTTTCTCTTTTAGACTGGAATTTTTTGCCTTGAAATGTAAACATTTATTGTTCACTGTCATTCTAGATCTTTCAGTGTGTACCCTAAGAATATTGTTCATCATTACTATAGCTTTTAAAAGCTTTTAAAAAATTATTATTATACCCCAAAAAGTAGTCTCACAAGTGGGCGTTCCCCCTGGTTCTGCTGTTTATAGCTGCTGGGCGAAGCAAATGGCTCTGGTTGTTCAGAGGGCCTTCTTATTTTTGGCGTGAGTACTACAGAGTAGAGTGGGGTGATTAGTGAAGTTGAGACTTTCCCTAGATGTTTCACTGAGTAGACTAGAAAAATGGAGGTTTTGATTGGATGAAACATCATTAGTAATTGTGGTGGTTTGAACGAGAATGTCCCCAGTACGTTCCAAGTATTTGGGCATTTTGTCCCCAGTTGGTGGCGCTATTTTGAAAGGTTTTAGGAGATGCGGTCTTTCTGGAGGAAGTGTGTCACTGGGGGGCGGACTTTGAAAGTTCTTAAGTTCTGCCAGATTTCCAGCCTTTCTCTGCTCCTTATACCTGCTTGAGGATGTGACTTTGACTTTCTGCTCTGGCCACTTCCGCTGCCATGCCTCCCCTGCCATTATGGACTCCTTCTGGAACCTTAAGCTCAAATAATCGTGATGACATAGAATTAAAAGGAAAAAACCCTGAGAATTAAATAGCTTTAAAAAGTACATTAAAAATTATTCCTGTTATCTATGATGTGCATCCACACCCTTGCATTGAGTATAGGATTTGGAATACAACATTTAGAAATTTTTAAGTCAGCCTTTATGTAAAATGCTTTCAATTTATTTTTCAGTAATTAAAGGGCTTTAAAAGCTTCATTTATGTGTAACAGAAAAAAAAAATCTCCAAAATGAAATTCTTTAAAAAAAATAAATATTCAAGCCTTAAGTTTGAAGTGAGCTTACACACACACACATGCACATGCACACACACACACACACACACACACAATTAGAAACTTTTTCTTAGTTTCTTCCCCCACTTCTGTCCCATTTCCTCCTTTCTCCCCATCTAGTGAACATGATGAAATCATGTAATTGTTTAAAAAAAGTCTCTCTTTGCTTCCAGTGTACAAAAGGCTTTTATATGTTGATGTTAGATAAAATTGCTATTTCAAATTGTCTAATTTCTTACCAGGAGAAGCAGATTGCTGAGCTTCATACACAAGAAATAAAATAACTTTTAGGTATTTTATTTATTTTACTTTTTAATGTGTATGAGTATATTGCCTGCATGTGTATAAGTGTACCCATGTCATGCAGTGCCCACTAAGGTCAGAAGAAGGCATCAGTTCCCTGGAACTGGAGTTACAGATGGTTGATAGCTGTCATGTGGATGCTGGGAATTGAACCTGGGGCCTCTACAAGAATAGTCAGTGCTCTTAACCACTGAGCCATCTCTCCAGTCCATAACTTTTAATCTGTATTTTTCCTATTTGGTTATCCTTTTTTTTTTTTTTTCCACATGTGAAAAACTGCAGGCAATTTAAAGTGATTTTAATTTCTCTTATTATGAATAAATGTTAAATATGGAAAGTACGATAACTTCCAAAGAGAAACCTATTAATACTCCACTTCCAGTAATGCCTAACGTACTTAATTTCTTTCCCCTAATGTTGTTAAAACTATTTTCTTGGGGCTGACAGATGGCTCAGCAGTTAAGAGCACTAACTGCTCTTGCAGAGGACCTGGGTTTTACCCACACAGTGGCTAAAAACAGTCTGTAAGTACAGTTCCAGGGGATCCAAAGTCCTCTTCTGACCTCCACTGGTATTGCGTGACATCAGTGCACTTACATACGTGCAGGCAATACACTCATACACATAAAATGAAACTAATAAAGAAAATATTTTAAAAAAACGCATTCTTGTAAGCATGCACCCCTCCTCCAAAGATTTTTATTTCAGATTGTTAGGAAACATCCTTGTATAGCCTTAGACAGTCTTATGTGATTTTAATCATTGCATGTTATTTTTTTATAAATCAATACCATGTAATCATTTGATTTGCCCTATACTTTTAGATATTTACATTGTACTCCTTTCCAGTTTTCTGCCTCTTACGACCGTTCATATTTCAGTAGTGATCTCTCTGGTTTCCTTTCTGCTTTTCTTTCCCTTTCCTTTAATTGGAGGTTTGTTAATCTGCTTCTGTTTTCGGGAATTGAGGTCTCAGTTTCCTTGATCTGCTGTTTTAGTCTCTAATTATTGCTCTCTTTTTTCTTGTGTTCTCTCATTCTTGTCTCTCTCTTTCACTCTCTTATTTCCTCATGTGACTCTCTTTCTCTTTCTCTCAGTTTTCTCTCTCCTTTCTTTTCTCTAGGATCTTACTATGTAGCACAGGTTTGCCCAGATTCAGGTGGTTCTAACTCAGCCTCCCAACTACTGGGGTTACAGGTGCGTCAAAACCCCCAGTTTGCTCAGACCATTATTGTTTCTTTCCTTCTACTAACTTTGGACTTCATCCCCCTTCCTCCCCCCAGTTCCTTGAAGTATAAAGTTAAGTTGCTTATTTAAGATCTTTTCTTCTGTCTTGAAATAGACATTTACTTTTGTAAAATCCACAGAATTGCTGCTGTAAATTTTGATATGTTGTTTCATTTTGTTTATATTAGGATATTTTAAAATTTTACCTTTTAACTTCTTTTTGACCCATTGATTGCTCAGAATCTTGTTTAATTTCCACATATTAACAAATATTACAAGAATTCTTTTTATTATTAATTTCTTGCCATGTTGTTAGACAATATATTGGTTGTAATTTTAATCTTGTTGAATTTATTAGGACTTGTTTGGTGATCTAATATGAGTTATCATAGATCATGTTCCATGTAGACTTGATAAAAATGTGTATCCAGCTTCTGTTGAATGTTCTCTCTCTGTGTTTGACCATCTGGTCTGTGTGCAGTCCAAGTTCACTATTTTCTTCTGCTTTTCTGCCTGGATGAGCTGCCAATATTAAACTTAGTAGGAGGGAGGATGGTAGAGTCCTGCAGTCCCCTTTCACTGTATTGCTGTCAATACCCCCTCATTTATATTATGATACAGTGCTCCAGTGTTTACTCCATTTCTATTTACATTTTACATCCTCTTGATCTCTTTATAGTCACACATTGATTTTCATTGTCTCTTTTGTATTACTATCCCAACTCCCATTTAGGTTTCTGTTCGCAGGAAATATAACTTCCCACTCTTTGATTGTAGATCTGTGTTACTTTACAGATGAAATCAGTCTCATATAGGCAGCTTATTGTTTGATCTTTAAAAAAAACTATTCACCTGTTTAGTTTTAATTGGTGAGTACAATTCATGCATTGTGAAGGTGATTGATGAGGAGCAAGGACTTGTGGCTGCCTTTTGTTAATTGTTTTCTGGATGTTTTGTTGATCCACTGTTCCTTTCTTCTTTCAGTAGATTCCTTTTGATTGAGTAATTTTCTTTAGTGATGTGCTTTAATATCTTTTGCTATATTTGCTTCAAGTTTTTGCTTTGTGGTTATCATGAGATCTATATCAAGCATTTTATAGTTATTATAGCTGTTTTAAGCTGAAAAGTTCTTTCATTGTAAATAAAAACTCTATACTTTTATTCTACCACCTCCACATTTTTTGGTTTTGGTGTCATGAAATCCTTATATTTGAATATTTATATCTTTCTTTAAATTTGGAAAAAATTCTGCTTGTCTTTAAGTAAGATTCTTTTTCTTTTTTTCTTTTTAATGCTTATACAGTTTGATACTGTCCTCTAAATCCTGTAGTCTTGATTTATTTGTTCGTTTGTTCATTCATCCCCTATTTCATTCTTTTCATTTTGTATGTTTTCTTTTTTAATATTTTATTTATTATTTATTTTATTTTATGTGTATGAGTGTAAGTGCACCCTTGTCATGCAGTGCCCTTGGAGGTCATGCTGGGAATTGAACCCAGGTCCTCTGCAAGAGCCATCAGTGCTCTTAACCCCTGAGCCATCTCTCCAGCCCCATTGTATGGTTTCTAATACCTTGTCTTGAAGTGTAAAAGTCTTTCTGCCCCTTGGCCTGTTTTACTATTGATGTTCTCACAAACATTTTTGTTCCATTCACTCTATATAGTTCATGCACACCCTCCAAATATTAATAATACAAAACAGCCAAACTTTCTATTTTGAATATTGTTTACTTTGTTAAATTCTTTGTATTTAAACATTAAGTGTTGTGTAAGTAATGTTTTTTCTATTCTCTTTAGACTTTGCCATTCAGTCAGATGATGATCAGGTGAACGTGATGGGTTTTCGTCTCTTAGGAGGCTCCCGAGTTACTCTTCTTGCTTCCAGAACTTCTCGTAAGTAAAACCACGCTATTGTTGTTGAAATGTTCTACACATCAAGGATTCCTGCAAAGGGTGCAGATGATGTTTCCCTAGGTATCAAAACCTGAGCGCTATTGTGAATAAGATGTAAGCATTATGAAATAAGATCATGTTTTGTTAGAGACATGTAGCTTTGGTTTTGGGGGTACAGAGGTTTTGAAAGTTCTAACGAATTTTGAAAGTTTTAAAGAATTGAAAAATGGTTTTATAAAAAAACCCAGTGAAGTAGGTTCTAGGGATTCTTTTTCTGAATTTATTTTTATGTATATGAGTATTTTGCCTACGTGTATGTGAGTATACCCAGCTCATGCAGTGCCCATGGAGGTCAGAAGAGGGCATTGGATCCCCTGGAACTGGAGTTACAGATGGTTGTGTTAGTTACCATATGGGTGCTGGTAACTGAGCTCAGGTCCTCTGCAGCAGCCAGGGCTCTTAACTGATGAGTCATCTCTCTAGCCCAAGGAACTCTAAGGAACTCTTAAAAAACTAGAATTAATTTTCCTTTGATTTGTGTGTGTGTGTGTGTGTGTGTGTGTGTGTGTGTGATTTTATGTATGTTTTTAGAGAAAGGGTCCCCATGTGTAATCTGCATTGAGCTTGAATTTGTGACCCTTCTCCCTTAGCCCCCTTCATGTCAGGGTTTCGGGCTTGTGCACTATGCACAACCTTTACTTTTGTGTATATTCTTACATCCCCTGTTGAGCATTGTTAGAGATGAAGATAAGATGAATGATTTTCACCGAGCCTAACATCAGAAGGTAGAAAATTATGTAGTCAAGCTTGAATTTCAGATTTAAATTTGCTTTTAACTGTTTCATATGACAAACATAGTTGAAACTAGTCAATTTAAAACTGCCTTCTGATGTAGTTACTCTACTAAAAGCATCAAATACACTTTATTATATATACTTTCATGGAAATAAAGATATCAATAGGTGTTGTATTGGAGCAAAATATGTGTGTAGTACATGTGTGCATTGAAATAGTTTGAGTACACTCCAATTTTTTTTTAAAAAAGTCTATAATTTTGGGGTGAGGGTATGACTCAAGTGTAAGGTGCTTGCCTAGCATTTGTGAGGCTTTGATCTCTGGCACTTCATAAAGGAAAATGTCCTTTAGTTTTTACACTTTGCTTCAACTCTGTACTAAATGCATCTATAGTTATACTTGGTTATATTGCAATAATAGAGTGTAATGAGGACATCTTTTTCTTGAAAATGAAATTGTTATGAAACTATGACTGTCTGTAGCTGAGACTGTAATAATTTCTGGAATATACAGATTGTTAACTGGTGAAATAAACCTGAATGCAAGTACATATTCTAGAATAAAACAAAATTTAAAAAGTTATTTTAAAAAGTTATTTAAAAAGCACAATTAAAAAGTTATTCTGAGCAGATGAAAATTTTCTAGATGGTCTTTGTGATCAGCCATGATTGTAGTCCTCCTTACAAAGGCATCAGAGAATATTTTACTGCAGTCAGAACACTTAAGATGAAGTCTCCTGTCTTAACAGATTTCTGAGCGCACAGCCCACTACGTTAACTGCAAGCATGGCCTGCTATTTTGCTTTGGTTAGCTCTACTCTGCACTTGGACGTTTGAATCATTTTGGTGCATTTTTCTTATTTAAATTATGCTTGTTAACTAAACTAAAAAGTTGTCACCAATATTTCCTTGAGAAATTGTACATATCTGAATGACTTCAGTAGATGGGGCTTTATAATTAATCTTTAACTGAAGCCATTTTAAAAAAAAAAACTTATTTTTTATGCCACTGAGAATATTTGTGTCCTAACACATTTGTAGTTGTTCTCTTCCAGGCAAACTGGCCCTTAGAGAAGTTACTATTGTACTTCACCAAATGTCCAGATATATAACTGGCTCATTCACTCCTGTGCTTATGGTAATTAATGCTTTGACACAGCTGTGTTGTGTGTAGACAAATACATAACAGAATGAGAGAAGTCATGTTAGCCAAGAAACCAGTGTCTAAACTGATACTGGATGAGCAGCAACCACATTTTCCTGATTCTTATATAGAGCATACCCTTGGTGATAAAAAGTGTGAAAAGCACCGTTTTCTAGGGTGGAGGCGGATATTGATCCTCATTTATGCCCTATCAGAGCATTAGTCCATTTGTGCCCAACCTGTATTTGGCATTTTTCCTTTTTGTAAAAGGCATTTAGTATTTATTCTTATCAACAAATCTGAATTGACTGAAAAATCTCACGTGTCAAAAGAGCACTGTTATTTCTTCCATTTTAAACACATGATCCACTTGCCATCTAGAGTTGTCCTTAGCTCTTGGCTGGTATTTTTTTTTTGTCAGTTCCTCATATCCATTTTCTTTTAAAACCTCTTGATAATCAACTCAGGCTTCAAATGAGCTATATGGTGATTCTGGCTTCATGTCCTGATCCAGTGCAGATAATCACAGCATGCAGGAATGTGGTGCCTTGGTTCCATACCATCATTTCATAGTTCGTGGTGAAGGAAACTAGTTTTTTATTTTCAGAAAGTATAATAGAGCAGTGCTTCATGCAATTAGGGTTTATTATATGAATTCTGAAAGCATGAAGCAGTTAAGATAAAAATATTTGGGAAAATGTTCTACATTAGCAGAGTTTCTGAAAATTATTATCAGAGCCCTAAATTGGAAATAACAAGACAGTTCACATTTCATCTCAACTATTTTCATAAGTATTGTGAAAAATATTTTCACATGGAGGTCTACACTTTCAAGTGATTCAGTATATTGGGATTTTAGAAGAAATAGAATGTTGCCTGAAGAAGCGAGAGTCCTTCCCGTGTGGTTTGCCTAAATTCAAAACCCATTCCGGTGCACCTTGCTCCCTGCACAGCAAACACTGTTTCCTGGTCTCCGTTTTGTACTCTCTCTTGCTGTCTCCACTATCTTTTCATTCATTCATTCATTCATTCGTTTGTTTGTTTTTGTTTTTGAGACAGGGTCTCTCTGTAGCCCTAGGTGACTTGGAACTCACTATGTAGATCAGGCTGGCCTTGGTCTCACAGAGATTTGCCCTGTCTCAGCCTCCTGAGTGCTGGGATTAAAGGCATGTGCTGCCATGCCCAGCTCTGTTTTTATCCTTATCTCTAGTTGTATCTTGCCTTGTTCTACTTGTTCAGAATGGATTTAAAAGAGTTTTAAAATATACTTAAAGCATAAAAGGTTAAAATAAATAGCTGAAGCAAACAGAGAAAGCAAACAGAGGAAAGAAATTAGTAAATCTAGGAATAAAATTGGCACTCAGGAATACATTTATCTACTTAGTAAGGGGTTAGCAGCACGCAAGAATGAGAATGCATTTTAGTTACAATTTTTAGCATATCAAAATATAGAATCCTTAGGGGCTGGAGAAATGGCTCAGTGAACCTGTGTTCAATTCCCAGCACCCGTATGGCAGCTAACAACCATCAGCAACTCCAGTTCCAGGGATTTGATGCCCTCTTCTAGCTTCTATGGACATTGTACACATGGATGCACTTACATACATGCAGGAAAAACACATAAAGTAAAGGTAAATAAATTAAAAAATTTAAAACCAAGATTTGGAAGATGGCTCAGTAAGTAAAGGCATTTGTCACTAAGACTGATGGCTTGAGTTCAGTTCCCTAGGATCCACATGATGGAAGGAACCAACTTCCACAAATTGCCTTCTGACCAAATTGTGGGTGCTGTGGCTTAGATCCCCCTCCAACAAATAAATAGATGTAAATAAATATATAAAATCAAATACTTCATTTAGGAGTTATACAGCCTTTACTATTCCTAAGTCTAGGATGAGATCTTCAGAAAAATTATCCTGAAGCCGGGTGTGGTGGTGCATGCCTGTAGTCCCAGCACTTGGGAAGCAGAGGCAGGCAGATCTCTGTGAGTTCAAGGCCAGCCTGGTCTACATAGTGAGTTCCAGGACAGCTGGGATCACAGGAAGACTCTGTCTCAAAAAGACCAAAAAAAAAAAAATATCCTGAAGACAATCCCTTCAATTATGTTGTACAGTTTATGTTTTATAATAATAGTGATTATATTTATATATTGATAATTTATGACAACAAATTTCATAGAGCTTTAACAAAAACAGAATTTTTATTTTTAAAAAATATTTTATGTATGTGATCTTTTCATATACATATGAAAATGTACTTTGTATTGCCTGCATGTGTATAAGTGCATCCATGTCGTGCAAGGCCTGCGGAGGTCGGAAGGTGTTGGATCCCCTGGAACTGGAGTTGCGAATGGTTGTTAGCTGCCATTTGGGTTCTGGGAATCAAACCCAGGTCCTCTGCAAGAGCAGCCAGTGCTCTTAACCACTTAGCTATCCTTCCAGCCCCAGCAGCAGAAATTTATACACTAAAATAGTAATAAAAAAAGAAAGGATAATGATAAAACTTGGTTTACTAAATGTAGTTTTATGTGAGCCTAAGTTAGGGGCTGCAGCTTGATCTGAGGATACATTTAGAGTATCTGCACTTTTCAGAACCTAGCATTTTCCAGCAAAGACTGAATAGCAGAATTCAGCAATTCAGAAGCAAGAGGTAAGATAAAGAGTTGTGGACTTTGTTTGGAAATGAGCAGTGTTCACGTGCTTACCTGTAATTGAAATGGTTGAGTTCTGAGGGAGACGTGAATGGTAAGGAGAAAGAAGCAGGCCACATGTAGTCACATCCTTGGGGAGAGAGGGAATGAGAGGCAGAGACTGGGGGTGCATTAAGGGATACTTTTTTCTTATTATCTTTCTGTGTCTTGAGCCCCAGGCCTTGTATATGCTAAGCATCACTTATCTACAACCCCAGATCAAGGGATATACTTAAAAATATATTAATCAATTCTTTGGGAATTTTATGCCATTTATTTTGATTATACTCACTCCTGATGCCCCTACCTCACTCCTCCTAGATACACTGTCACGTCCATATCCACCCTCATCTCCCCCTATCTTTGTGTTCTT